GAAAGAATAGTGTCCAAAGCTAGCAGCTCAGCTTGGTCCTGGAAACTGGTTTCCTGCTGGTACAGCCTCCATCAGGTCCTATTTTTCCATCACTGAATGCTTTCACATGCCCTCAATACCCAGGGTTTCCTAAGTAAAATGTAAACAGTCCCTTATACCAAACAAGTTTGCTTTTTGGCTCCCAAAACTGGGGGCGGGGGGTGGTTACAAAACAAAAATTCTTAAAAGCTAGGCTGGCCTATGCTAGTTCACACAGACAGGTGAGTTCAGGGCTGTTTCCTAGCAAGACGCAGGAAGGTGCAGGGTGCGTGTTGGGGAAGAGATGCCTTATAAAAAGGCAGAGCTGAAAAAATGTTTGAAACTCCACAGGAAAATACAAGAGGAAATGTTGAGATTTTACAAAACAACCCAGTCCATTTAAAAAGCTAGACTTTCAGTGTAAAATACATGCTCACTTTTCAAAACACACCTGTTTCTAAAATTTAATGTGGTGAAATAAAATTTGTCATTGGGAAACCTGTTACTTCAAGAACTCTAAAGAATATCCCTTCACTGTACATCTTTTTATAATCCATTTTCATGTATTTAGTGTCTCCAAGTAAAACTGAACTTTACTTCCAGAGTCCAGCCCTCTTAGTACTTTCTCACCTGTTTCTCTATAGGTATCTGTAAATAATTACCATATTGTGCTCCAATTTTTACTTATTTTTATTTTAAAATATATTTTTATTGATTTCAGAGAGGAAGGGAGAGGGAGAGAGAGAAATATCAATGATGAGAGTCATTGATCAGCTGCCTTCTGCACACCCCCCACTGGGGATCAAGCCCACAACTTTGGCAGGTGCCCTGGCATGTGTTCATAGGTCGAAGGTCAACCACTGAGCCACACTGGCCGGGCTTTATTTTATTTTTTAATCCTCACCTAGGACATGCTTATTGATTTGAGGTGGGGGGAGGGGTAGAGAGAAACATCAATGTGAGAGGTAACATAGATTGGTTGCCTTCTGTAGGTGCCCTGGCTGGGAATCAAACCCGCAACATTTCAGTATACGGACGACGCCGGAGCCACACCAGCCAGGGCATGTGCTCCAGTTTTTAGATGTCCAGAATACCTTTATCTTTCCTCTCTGGTATCCACTTTGATGGCCATAAAATCACTTTATCTCCTAATTTTTGCTCTGAATTTCCCAAGGACTTTAAAATCAAGTTGTTCATGATGGGGTTGGTGTCCCTAAGAGAGAAGGACCCTGGGGGGCCAGGCCTTCTGCAGTCCTGCCACAGTGGGCCCTGGGGCTCACAGTCACCGCTCTGACCCTCTGCAGATGTCCTTTGGCCTCCTCCGTGTGTTCTCCATTGTGATCCCCTTCCTCTATGTCGGGACGCTCATTAGCAAGAACTTTGCCGCTCTACTTGAGGAGCATGACATTTTTGTCCCAGAGGACGATGATGACGATGACTAACAGGTAAGACCTGCTATTCCCCTACATGGCCCAGGAGCAGGAAGGGGGTGGGGTCTGAACTGGTAGTTTGGCCTGGTGGACACTTGAAGCAGAAGTGCAGACCTTTAATGAATTGACTCATTTGGTGGCTAATGTTTTTGCCTTTTCTCTGTTGGATGAGGATAACTGTCTTATTGACTTATAAATTCACTGGGGTTTCTTCCAACTAGGTTGGACCACAGCCAGACTATCTGTCTGTCTAATTTAATCTCTTATCTGTTTATTTTTATCCTCACCCGAGGATATGTTTTTATTAATTTTTAAAAGATAGAGGAACAGTATGAGAGGAAAACAATCAGTTGCCTCCCGTACCTACCCCAACTGGTGATCCACAAACTAGGTATGTATTCTGACCAGGAATCGAACCTGCAACCTTTGGTTGTACGGGACAACACTCCAACTGGGCCACCAGCCAGGGCTCATTTGCCCTTTATGTGCCTTGTTCTCACCACCCAAAAATTTTCTCTACAGTTTAATATGCCTTACACACCCATCACAGACAGCTTCATTTTAGTGCTTCAAATTGAAATTTAGAAACTGTAGATTCTCACCATGGACAGCTATGGTTACCAAGCTCTGCACCAGCACAGCCTGTACATGGTCACCACTGCTCATAGACCCTTCCCCCAAGACATGTCCCATTCAGCTTCCTTGTGTTGACTTCTGGTGCTCTGATATGTGTGTGGCTGCATTATTGTCATAAAGACACTCCTGATTCTTTAGTCTGGCATTCAAGGCTTGCCATGATCTGGTCACACCTATTCTAGCCTCATCTTCCATATTCCCAACCACACACCTATCCCTAGTACTCACCATTTCTTGAATTACTCCCAAGCACTGGCTCATTGTTCCTCCCACTCAGAAGGCTATGTCCCACTACTCCATTTCCACCAGTTCTCCATTATCTTTGATAAAGTCTTCCCACATTCCTCCATTTGAAAGTGACTGCTCCTTCTGACTGGCCAGTACCTCTCGGTTGACCCTCCATGTTACGTGTTTAAACACATACACCCCAAACTCTACTAGACTATGAGCTTCTTGCTGGCAGGGAACATGATTTATGCCTTTAGGGCCCCCATGCCTGGTCTGTGGTGAATGCTTAGTAAATGTACAAGTGAATAACCAAATTTACTCAAAACCGCCTCTCTCCTGTTTGATAGAAGCACTCTGGAATTCTCTTTCAGTATGTGGATGAAGGGCTGCTCTACTGCCCAATTCACTGCTGCTTTCCTTTCTTGCAGGTCATGAAGTTCAGGAAAGAGAAAGCCCTCCCTGAATCAAGACATGGCGATGCTCACAGCCTCTCCTCCTTGCCTATCAGCAGAAGGGACTAGGGAAAGCCCTCAGCCTCCCAACTCCAGTGAAGCCTCCTGCAAAGCCCATGCCCACAGCCCTGTGTCCCAGGCTCTGGGAGGTTCCCCGAGATGTGCAATCCACTGAGCATAACCAGATGATGAATAAACATGACAAATACCAACTATGTATGAGTGAGTGATGGCTGGATTTCTCAGTATGAGTAGTTCTAGCTGTTGTAGTTTCTTGTCTCTGCTGTTTGTTCTCTAATAGGCCTTTGATTTACAACCCAGGGTCTCCAGGCCCTTACGGATCCATAATTATGGGGCCTGGCACCTATTTTCATTATTTACAAAACCCCACAGAAACTCTTTTCCCTCAGTAAAGCTGTACAGGCCAACTAAACCCTCAAACTTTCTTTGTGTGGAATAACACTGGCTAATTGTCACATGCCAATCTATCATGGCTTTGGTTGTTAGTTTAAAACTACAAAATATTAAAATGATTATTTTAAAACTTGGTTTTTTAGATGAAAATAGGATCTTGGTGCTGAAAAATTTGGGAATCCTAAGGGTGACTATATATTGAACCCCCTTTTCCAGCTTTTAGACCGTCCAGTGAAGGAACAGAGAAGACTGCTGTCCAAAGCAGAGATCACTTCTTTTACCTGGTCCAACATTTATTGTTACTTTAAAGCTGCAACCGTTTGCAAAACAGTTGGAATATTTGTTCTCCGGGTGTGCACTGAACATCTGTGTCCCTAGTGGGGAGCCTAATTGAGTAGGAAGTTAATTTCATTTTAAGGACCCGTGCTTGTTGCAAATAGAGAGTTAGGCCTCTGATCAGCCACTTTCTTCAAAACCCAGGGGAAAATAGCCCGTTTGTGTTCTCTACTTCTGTGCCTTAGTGCTGCTCTCATCCCTCTCCGACAGCAAGAGCTGGCTAATTTTGGATAATCTGTGTGGTGACACTAACCATCCAATCCTGGAGGCTGTGGAAACAGCTACATTAACGAAGTCATCCAGCCGCATACCCAGTATGACAGTTTCTCAACAGATGGCCTTGTATTTCCTGTTTACCACATGCAAGGCTCTGGGAAGAGAATCCACTGTCACTTATAGGCAACCCCACACTTCAGGAAAAGGGAACGAACAGGTGGTGTGTATATGCCTACCCCACTTGTTCAGGCAAAAAGTGAGAGACTGCAGAAACGGAGCTTCCCATTGGTTCACCAATGGAATCCTACCACGAAGTGACCATCATATACTGAGTTTATTTGTACTATAAAGTATTTAAATATCAACATGCACTTTCCCACTGAATGACTTCATGGGTCGTGGCCAACATAGAACTTGGACAGGAAATCCTTTGGCCTTGGAGTTTCTGTTTCATGGAAGAACCGCATAACGTGTGTCCGCTGCTTCCACACTTTAATAGTTTCCTCCAGTTCCATCTTTCCCTGCACAAGTGAGGGGAGAGGTCTTCAGTCAAAGTGGTCCAGTGAAAGGAATACAACACCGAAGGCCAGGATTCTATTTTCTGCTCTGACACTGACTTGAGTGACCTTGGGTAAGTAACGTACTCGGTCTAGACCAGTTTCTGCATCTGAAAACAGGTGTTGGACTAAATGATCTCTGAGGGCTTTCAAATATTCTTTAACTGGCTGACTGGTCTAAGGAGAGACTTCCAGGTCAATGGGCCCCTGCCCCATGACGCCTAAGCTGACAGGCTTAACTTATATTTCTGCTTAACATGCTAAAGCTCCCTCCTATTGATGCTCGTGACTGATCAGAGACAGAATCAGGGCCAGGATTGGACCCCATTTACACAGGACTCAGCCAACCGGCCAGCCTCTTCCAGCTGTAAGCTGGCAACCAGGTGAAGCAGTAACCTCTAGGGAAGGGTTGAAGAAGAGCTCAAACTTTCACCCATATACCTTTTTTTAGTTATAAAATGCAAGCCCTGATGGGTTTTCCCTTGAACAATCTTATAATCTCTTTAATCAGGTGATAACCTCCAAGTTCATCTGTTCCAGGCAACAGTTGCTGACCCAGCAGTTGCTTTTTAAACTTGGAAACAAAGTGTTCATCTGGGAAGACTGGAGAGCTCTGGGCAGGTTGGGTTTTTAAATCGGTCAGGGAGGGTCAGTTACCTTAATGACTAGAAGATCAACCACTCTGGGGTCTGTGACGTGGGCATTCTTCATAAACATTTCTCGGACTTTATCCCGTCCCTGTTTCACTGAGATGTCTAGCTGGAATAAGTTCACTAAAGAGAAAACATGACCAGGGTAGAAATCATATGGTTAAAACATGTTTTTTAAATTTTGATCTATGAGTATTCATTAAACACATAGAGGTTGCCCATTCAATTCACTTACCAAATATTAGCCTGACCCCAAGCTAGGTGCTTGAGGATGTGAAGAAGTGTGAGACTGCCCTCAAAGCTTATATTTTGTTTGGGGAGACAAGGCCACTGCATTTGAAGGGCAGTAAGAGCATAGGTCAAGTGTATGAATGACCTGGGTTCAAATTCCATCTCTGTCACTTACCAGCTATATATCCCTGTGTACGTTAACTTCTCTGTGCCTGAGTGCACTTATATATGAAGTGAGGACAATAATAGCACATTTAACTCCATAGCTGTTGGGAGGATTCTAACAATGCGAGATGCTTAGAACAGTGCCTGGCATGGAATAAATCCTCAATAAATGTTAGTATTATTATTATTTTATTTTATTTTATTTTTTTAAAATATATTTTATTGAATTTTTACAGAGAGGAAGGGAGAGAGATAGTTAGAAACATCGATGAGAGAGGAACATCGACCAGCTGCCTCCTGCACATCCCCTACTGGGGATGTGCCCGCAACCCAGGTACATGCCCTTGACCGGAATCGAACCTGGGACCTTTCAGTCCGCAGGCCGATGCTCTATCCACTGAGCCAAACCGGTTTCGGCAAATGTTAGTATTATTATTATATGGAACATTTGTCAAAAGATAACAGGTTGGAATTAAGGTAAAATGATGTGGTGTAGGTTTGTGCACTACACAAACTTAGAGTTGAGGGAGACTGCTGAGGGTTTGTGCAGGTAGGGAAGGCTTCGATCCAGCTAGCACTACCATGTTAGGTTACTGGGGGAAGAAGAGAGAAGTTTGACGTAAGTCCTGTTCTCTTGGTCGTAAATTCTAATTAGAAGAACTGCTACCCATGAATGCAAACATGAAATCGCAATATTCAGCAATCCCTGGTTAAATATGTGCCTAAAACAGTGGCAGAGACTCAATGACCTAGACTTCATGTGAAGCACATGGATGGCCTTTGAAAATTAGATTGCAGTCATTTGTATTCCCATCCCAGGCAGTCAGCCTGCAGTGGATTTGCTGATGACAGAGCCTTGTGTGGTAGGTGCAATACGGACAGAAGGGGGGCCCACCAGCTGAATGCACAGCACAAACGAGGCTCTCGGGATAGGCTGGGCAGTGTGCTCATTTGGTGAGGTGCCTGGTGTTGTGGTCATTCCTGCGACATGTCCATTCCACTCTACAGAACTGTCACAACCAGCTCTGAGAACCACTGTTGAGAGCTAATTAGTGACCGACTGAATGAATAATAAAGCTTGACTTTTTAACTATACTCACAACTTAGTGACAGAAAAACAAAGCTTCTGCTGAGGAAATACTATGCCATGCTGCAAAGACAGTGTTTCTGACCCACACATGGAATAAATACACGAGACCAGAAATCGAACAGGAGACACTGCATCCCAGCTTCATAGGTCAGTAAGTGTTCACAGAACGGACAGGACTGAGGATCAGACAGTAGAAAGAACTCCGTATCCAGTGGTCGCTGGAGCAGTTTCCCATGGGGAGCCAATTCTATGCATCTCCCCAAATCTGCTGCCTTCGCTGCCTTCACTTCCATAGTTTAACATCAACCGGGGTGGGAGTATTTACACCGTGGAGAACGGAAAACATTATACATCTAGGTTTCCCTCCAGAGAGTTGGCTGTTAAAACACTACAGTATCATATTAGGAATTTTAGAAAATGGTAAACAAAGGGACAATAAGAGACACAAAAATAAATGTAAACTAGTGTGGACCCTAGAATTTAGAATCTTACCACTTGGGATGGGGGGAGGAGTGAGGCCTAGAGCGGCGGTCGCCAACCGGTGGTCCGTGAGGTCCGAAAGGTTGGCGACCGCTGTCCTAGAGCACTGTGGGGACTTGCCTGAGGTCATACTCTGGTCCCTGGCAAACTTGGGCCTGGAATCCAGGGTGTTTCTTGTGTTGTTTTAAAATTTACAATTGGCACTCTTTGAAGGAAAGAAATATGAAGAACCTTCCCTTGCTATCAGTATAACCCTTGCATCTTTATATTCGATTCCTCACTGTAGGAAAAAAAACAAGGTGCCCCTAGGCACACCAGGGGAGCTGGTGCCCATCACTCCCATCCTCATGTCCTCCTGAACCACCTGCCAGGAAAATGTCACGTGCACAAATGCAAAGTTTTGCTTACGAAGTCAGTTCATAGATCCCTGAATGCCCATCCTTCCAGGTTAAGAACCTTTGTTCTCAAGAGACAAATTCCATAGCTTTGTCCCAGGCGCCTTCCTGGCATCCTAACCCCTGAACACAACCTTCCACCAGTGGAAAGGCCTTAGGAAGGCAAACAGGAGCAGCCTAAGCTATGGCCTGCTGAATTGTTCTTTGGTCTAAATCAGTGGTTCTCAAACCAGCGGTGACTCTGCTACCCCCTGCCCCTAATATATGGCAATGTCTGGAGGCATTTTGGTTTGTCACAATTAGGGGGGAATGCTCTTGGCATCTAGTGGGTAGAGGGCAGGGATGTTGCGAACATCCTACAATGCACAGGGCAGTCCCCTAAAACAAAGAATTATCCAGCACATATGTGGTTATTGAGAAACCCTGGTGTAAATTTCAACTGTTCCCTACCTCCCACTCCTCCCTGTAACAAGAAAGGGTTCTGGACACTCTAGGCAAGCATTATATTTTGAAACATCTGAATTTAACACACACTCCTCATACCTATTATCCACCTGTCCCCTGAAGGCATTTGAATTTGCAATCCCTGAACCAGTAGTTAGTTCTCTCAAGTTTCTCCTTCCCTAGGATCCTGTGGGTTTAAGTTCTGGTCATCCACAATTTCTCCAAGTCAGCTTGAGGACAGGGACAGTGTGGAGCAGTCACAGTTCCTATCGTTAGAGAACTTCTACAAGGAGGCTTCTGCTAGGGTAAGCCCTATAAATAACAATAGTGATAATAACAACAATAAAAAAAACAGTAGCAGCCAACATTTAAGGAGTGCCCGAGTGCCAGGCCCTATCCTAAGCACTCTAGCTATATTAACCTATTTAATACGGTAACTCTTGGAAGAAGGTACTATTATCCTCATTTGATAGATGAGGAAACTGAGGCACAGCAAGGTGAAATCACTTGCCCAAGGTCACACAGCGAGTAAGGGTCAAGGTCTGGAGGCAAGCTCAGCAGCCACCACATTCTACTCCTCACACACAGGCGGGAGTAGCAGCCCGGAAGAGGTGCTATGGTGCTCCAGCTAGCTTAAAAACACCTCCCCTCTCGGACTAGCAGTGATGGTCTGCATTAAAACACACTAAACCAGTGGTTCTCAACCTTCCTAATGCCGCGACCCTTTAATACAGTTCCTCATATTGTGGTGACCCCCAACCATAAAATTATTTTCGTTGCTACTTCATAACTGTAATTTTGCTACTGTTATGAGTCGTCATGTAAATATCTGATATGCAGGATGTACTTTCATTGTGACAAATTGAACATAATGAAAGCATAGTGATTAATCACAAAAACAATATGTAATTATACATGTGTTTTCCGATGGTCTTAGGCGACCCCTGTGAAAGGGTCGTTCGAACCCCAAAGGGATCGCGACCCACAGGTTGAGAACCGCTGCACTCAATCAATGAAACAAAAGATCCAGGCCCTGACATGAGTACTGACTGCCCCTGACAGTTTAGGGGGCTTTCCCCCAACCTTTCTTTCATCAGGTAGAGGGTGGGGAGCCCTGAGGGGGATGCCATGATAAGGAAACAAAGTCCCTGCACCCTGCAGTTTATATTTAACACATCAGGTGAACAGGCTGGTTCTGACATCTCGGTGATTGCAGGAGTTCTGAAGTGGCAGAGGGCAGGCCACAGGGGGTGGAGGGGAGCAGTGGCTAAGCAGACTAGGGGCAGGCGGAGACAGCACCAGGAGCAAGGCTTGGAGATGGAGGGGGGCGGGGCAACACCTCACTGACATGGATGACCTTGGGAAAGTCACTTCCCTTCTCTGGTTCAGCTTCTTCTTTTGTGAGAGACGTGGGAACCCGACGGTCGCCCAGCCCTACAAGCCACTCTGCCTATACAGGTAACCTAGGGGCGCTGGACACGGTCTGGGAGCTAGAGTTGCCTTTGGGTTCCAGGTCCAGCAGGCTAGCTCTGGACTTGGGGCAGCCACTTCTCCTCTCCGTGCCTCAGTTCCCTCCCCTACACAGTGAGTACGTTATTGACAGTCCCTGCTCTCCCTCCCGGGGTTTCGTTTAGAATTACCGGGGCGGGCGGGGGTTGGGGGGGGAATGGGAGCCAAAGCGCCGAGGGCGCCTAGGAGCGCGGTAGGGATGCTGGACACAGTTGGTCTGACCCCGGCGCCACTGCCAGGTCGGGTCCACCCAGGCTCGGTGACCCTCCTCCCCTGAAACACGTGGGGGCGCCTCTGCCAGGCCCGAGAGAAATCAGAGGCCGGGAGGGCTGCGACCTTGAGCGGTCGCCTCCGGTGCCCCGCGCACGCCGATGCCTCTCACCAGTGGTCGGCACCTCCCGATACCAGGCGCGGTAGAGCTCGCGAACCCTCCGCTTGGCCTCGTTCATGTCCCGACTGAAAATGGGCTTCACCGAGGTGCTGGCCGCAGCAGCCGCCCGGCGAACGCCGCTCGCCGCCATCTTGCTAAAGTAACCACCCCCCAACCCCGCCCCCTTTCCACCCGCTAGTGCGGCGAAGGACGAACGTCTTTGCTTATTGGCTAAAATTGAAGGCCACGCCCCTAAATTCTATGGATGGGCGGGAGGGCGGCTATAGGGCTCTCTGATTGGTCGAGAGACCTGTATCTCTGGGTGGAAGGAAATCGGTTGGTGGCTGCTCATGCTCATCAGCAGAAACGCGAACTTGTCGGCTGGACGTCCTAACGGTCGCCCGACGGCG